ATAAACATACAAATGGATTATACTGCCATGTGATGTGGATGTGGGTGTGTCAGAATGGTAAAACCTAACATAATTGTAGTCGTGTTACCTACATTAGCACTAAAAATTTTACTGATTTTATCCAACACGCAAATCATGATTATGCAAGATTGCGAAATAAAAAATACCAATACGGAAAATGATAGTATTAATAAATAATAATTTAATTATACACTAAATATGTTATGAGCATACTAATTCTGTTGTATTTGTACAAATTATTGAAAAGCGCTAGTTGTGAATTTGAATACTTATACAAACTCAATTAGTATATTATATTGTATTTTTTAATTATTCATACAGGTCCGTTCTAATGACCGAATGTTCTAATTTATTTATCATCCAATTAATACTTTGTTTGTCGACTGGTTATAAATTCTATTGGTCAACGCAGTATTTTTAAATGACTCAAACTCAAACTTAAAGTCTTTATTTGCATGTTAAGGTAATACATACAGGTCTTATGAAATAACCGGCACAGCTTAACGGCCTTTTTCAGGCGTTGCAAATTTTAGGGGTGTCACTAACTTATTAAAAATTACATTTGCTTAACATTTATTTTTTTAACATATTTATTGATTTGTTCGGAATATAGGTAAGTACTTAAGTGGGTATTCTTAAAATGTATTAAATGTATTTAGTTAGTGTGTGCTTGTGGGTGTGAGGGGTTATGTATGTATGGGGTAGGTTTTAACATTTAATTTTGGTGTTATATTTTTCTTCGAAGAATTCTTTTGTCGATTAAAAGCATTTTCTACTACTACTGATTCCAAGGTTTTTTGTAAAATAGGTGTAGGTAACTCTGATTTTTCATAACTTATCAAAATGGATATGACAAAAACAATTTACGAAATTCGTATAATTATGTTAAATAGAACCCAGAAAGGCAAAGGTAGATGAAAATAGGTGTTATCTACAATTAATATATCTGCAGAGTTTACATATGACATTCATAAGTGTGGGAGAGCCATGCTTCTGCACGAATGTGCCGACTCGACACGTGAAACAACGCTTGCGTTGTTTGGTCGTGTAAGTGAGGTTGTCGGCGGCCCAATTACTCCTCCTTCCCTAATCTCCCTAATCCCTGAATCCTCAACAATCTTCAAATTCCACGGGCCGCTGGCGCACTTGCAATTTAAGCGCCTCTGGTGTTCCAGGTGTCCATGGGCGACGCCGATTGCTTACCGTCTGCTCCTTTAGAGGCTTATCCCGTAAAAAAATCAGTTATAAAATACAGAAACGAATTTTGTTAGTTATTAATTATTGATGAGAATTCACTTGTAAACTTCAAAAGTCTACTTAGCTTTCAAAATAAACGTAAAAACTACCCTAAGTACCTACTGTTTAGAAGTGATATTAAAATAAACTGACAAAGTGTTTTTTTCTTAAATAATGAAGAATATTGTTGCATACTATTGTTGCTGATTATTGATGCTGTTAGCATTAAGTCTTCCGTATGCAATTGTATAAAACTTGTATAAATAAAAAAATAAATATTGGATGAATTGAAACCTATTTTATAACTGGAAATACAGCTTAATACTGTTTAGGTACGTATTGTTTGACTTATATTAATACTAGCAATCCGCCCCGGCTTCGCCCGGGTGCAATACTTATGTAAAAATCCGTACAAAAAATGACCTTATATACTTACCACGTTCACAGCTATTTTGTCATTAGACAATACAAATATGTTTTATATTGATATTTTCCTCGCTAGAGCTCCGATAAACGCGTGCGATCGTTACAAGTCATAAAGTGCTCTATGACAAAACGCGGCCATCAACGCCGCAACACATACGTCCAAGCATTTTAAATTTGTAATATCTTCGGAAATATTCACTTAAATTACAGGTTGTATAAAGCATATTGATCTATGATAAATGCACAATTTATTTAAAGTACTTAATTGGATACGGATTAATGCTGTATTGTTTAAAATCACTTCGTAAATAACCATTGATAGTAAAGGATAAAAAATGATTATGGTGGGTTATCTCTATTAAAAAAACGGCATTAAAATCCGTTGCGTAGTTTCAAAGATTTAAGCATACAAAAGGACATAGAGACTGAGATAGCGAGTTTGTTTTATACTATGCAGTGATATAAATCTATTTTGAGACTGAAGTAATTATTATCATTGCTAGCTCACACAATTTATAACTCAAAAACGGCTAAATCGATCTTAATGAAAATTGGTGGAGAAGTAGCTTCGAACCAGGAGACGGACAGACACTTTTTAACCGAGGATTTCTTGGAAATCCTGTGGGAATGGGAAAAAACGGTATTGCGTGTACCAAACTTTAAAACAGAATTTATTTTGTAGAAGAAAAATTTACATGTCACCCTAAAGTTGTGATTTTTATATAAGTTTGGATAAACATTTGCTGAGATTTTTCTGGTAATTTATCTCCAAAAAGAAAACGAACCCTTGGTAACAGATGACCCTATCATTTCAATAAGAATATAGTGGAAAAAATTGTACTCAAACTCACATCATCGCTGACTTTTTTTTAATGAAGGAAATCATCCAGTGGCTTCTCCTGTCCGAGTGAGGCGAGAGGAAGTGTCAGACTCTTATTGAATAAAATCCACCCCGTTTCTACTCCTGCATTTCGAGCCGGAACCCCGGCAACTCGTTAAGTCCTCCGCGGCTCCGTATCGGCATCAGCCTATTGGACCCATATGTGCTGGTTTGATGCCTCTTTGAGGCGTGCGCGGAACGCGAACCGTCAAAGTCAAACTCAAAGACAAAGCATTTATTTCAATTAATATTTAATTAGGCACTTTTGAAAAAATTAAATTATCCGTCTGTCTGCCTGTCAGTGAACCTAATCGCTGGCTAGAGTTCTGTTCTGTTAACGTTTCATTGCGTGTGGATATTCTCACATGGAATTAAAATTGTAGGTGTAAATTATGTAGATACTAATATTGTATTATTGTATGTACATTATTTAATGCTTTGAAATACCTGTAAATAACTGGTACATATAATACCATAATAACATAACAATAGCTACGTTTTGGAGTAAGCAAAAGAACAATTGTAATTGTACATAATTAAAATGCGTTACTTTACGACCTATTCACTATAGCATTGCATGACAAGATTATATCTGTACCTACTTTCATATTATGGTCGCCTTCAATCTACTTACATACTTTGATAAGATAAACATAATTGAGATGTTGATAGGGTATAAAAATTAAAAATCTAATTAGTCCGTAAGTTAGGTAAATAAAACATATTAGACACATATTTTTTTATTTTGTCGTATAATAAAACAATACTTAGATAAAACGAATCAAAGTTTAGAAGTGGGGGCTAAAACGTCATTTCTACGTATAAAATGTACATAGAAGTGACGTCAAGCGACATTTCAAATCAATATATCGTCTAAAGTATTCCTTTCTGTAAAAAATAAAAAATACGTGTCTAATGATTCAAAATAAACCAGATGGACATTAAAATAAAAATTAGTCATCTACCCTATTTCTTATGTTTCATATTCGATGGCGTTCAATTTTGTTATCAATTAAATTGATATCTTAAATTTTATCGCAAACATATTATTCTAGAAAGAATTTCTTAAGACAGACTTTGTTTGCTCCATGGGGAGGCTTCTGTCATTACGTGATGATCATACTATGTAATGCTTTACGTTTCGTTTAAATGCCCGAATAAGCTAATTACTATCGAATGTTATTGTTTCTAAATTCTTAAAACGAAATCTCCAGGTGTACTTTATAATGTACCTGTATATATTGTTGACTTACAGATATTTAATCTGTTGTACAAATGATAAGATTATAGAGGAAAATGAGGCTCCCTTTCTGCGAATATGAAGCATTTGTATGTGACAATAATTATTTCTCAGAGGTCATTCAAAAAGAAAATATTATCTATAATAGTATAAACAATGACTTAACGTGCTGCATCATGGTCATAGGTATACATAACTTATACCTAATTAAATTATTTGCAGAAAAAAAGCCGTCATAAGAACAGACTCGTTCGTGGCAAAATTATTTCCTTAAAATAAATTAATTCGCAGTTCATACCAGGAAAGACCAAGTAAATTGAGTAATTCAAATATCATTTTAGTTATCGTATTTCAAGTATGAACACAATATATAGCCAAAATCAATGTCTCTAAATGGCCATAGATTTAGAAACTTTTTTCATCAAGTACCTAGTAATACTTAATTGAATATTGATATGAATAATTAATATATTCATAGTTCCTACTTATCGACTATCGAGCAAAAGTTGATTGCTGTATTAAAAATAAAAGGAGACCCCTGTGAAATTAGATAGTTAATTAATTATATCGGGTACATAATATTGACTTAGGAAGACTAGCAGCCTTGAACGTTCTAAGTCTCAAATTAACTTTGGTATAGAAACCCTACGATGAAGAGGCGAAACTAATAATGGCAACGAGGACCTGATTAAATGATAAGGATGCCTACTTTTTATAAATACATAATGCGACTTTAACTTATCAGAAATGATGACTGTTACAGATATTAGATATTAAAACTGAACACCTGCCAGACAATGTTTGATTACATTCCTGTTGAGTCATAAAAAGTGACCAACCTTTATGATTCTACTGGATTCGTATAATATATGAGCGCACACATTACGTCATCGTCAACAAAGTCTCGGTGAACACCTGTGTTTACCAATAGCACGATAACGAAGATATTATACAAACCTTTTTATCCAAAAACTCTTAAATGGTTGATAAGAACGTGTGTACAAATACTTTGCGAGGCAAATAAACGACCATCCGCCGTTTAAGAGGCAAGACGGCATTATCACCCTTAAGCTTTTCTGGGTAATTTAGCGCTACATATTTTATTGCTAAATGCGATTCAGACTTACGTGGTAGTCACATTCACGAACATACATCTAAGGAAAATGTTGTAATATAAGCCGTTATTTTTGTTTCAGAATGGCTCCAGCGCAGAAACACGTCCAAATGTGTGGCGAAGAGATTCAATCAGGACTGAAAATCAGTCCTATCACATACGATGCTGACAAATTAAACGAAGCTCCACAGTACGAAAACAATAATACAGTGTTGAGGAACAGTGCTAATGATAAAGTGAATAGTGAAGCAGACTTTGACATTAATAAATATGAAGCTATAGATTTTAAGGCAAAAATTAGATGGCCGGATCTAACCGTGCAAATACTTTTGCATTTAGTATCAATTTATGGATTGTACCTGACGATTAGTAACCAAGTGAAGATATTAACTTTATTGTTTGGTAAGTAAATTTTATTATATTATTAGTGACTCGGCCCGGCTTCGCAAAGGTCCAATATGCATATATTATACATATAAACCTTCCATAAGAATGACTCTATCTATTTAAAAAAACCGCATTAAAAATTCATTGCGTAGTTTTAAAGATCTAAGACAGATGGCGGATAGTGACTTTGTTTTATACTATGTAGTGATATTTAATGACTGTTTCTTAGTAATGACAGAACAACATCCTGAAATAATGAAACAAAAATGGAAGGTATCTCGCATTAATTTGTAATGTAATTGTAAACACGGAGAAAAGATTTACGAAAAATTAAAAAAAATGTAACTTAGATAAACATGGATCGAAGTATTAATTTTTCTTTTAATATTTAATCACATCAATGATTGATTATTTAACTCGTCGAGTACCGGTTTTATAGACACAATTAAAGAACAATAGGTCGCGGTCACCGGTGACCGCTTGGTGTTTGACAGTTTAAAATAACTGCAGTACATACTATAAACAATAACATCAACCACTTCTACTTAAACATTTTGTTATCTCTATTCTATATTATATATACAAAACTAATAACAAACAACAAGTCAAAACTAGTTTTAAGTAAAGTTTTTGGTTTTTTGAAGTCGGTTTTTAAAAGCATTTTTTATTTTATAATTTTCAGTGTACAGCGTAGGTGCAAAGTTCTAATCAACATAAAATATACAAACCCAAACACAAGGTAGTTACTGTATACCGTTGAGGAATTGCCTTAACAATTACACTTCTTCATCATCAAATCCTTAATGACAGCCCCACTCCATCTAGGTGTAAAGTCCTCATCAATACAAATTAAGTTTTTATTTAAGTTTTTTTTATTAATGTAATTATAAGTTTTTATATTAAGTGACAACATTATCGCATTGGGTGTAACCTGTCAGGATGTGTTGTTGAATTAAATAAATAAATAAATAAATTAATTAATGAAGTCCAAACACAAAGTAGTTACTGTATACCGTTGAGGAATTCCCTTAACAATTACATTTCTTCATCATCACACCCTTAATGACAGTCCCACTCTATCTATGTGTAAAGTCCTCATCAATACAAATTAATCAAGCCCAAACACAAGGTAGTTAATATAAACCGCTGAGGTGTTCCCTCAACTGTCTGTCGGCTCCATCATCAGGTGGACTCCACACTCTTATTAAATTGTAGTGTTTAAAAATCCTAATTGAAAAACATAATAGACGCATTACTCGCCCCTAGAATTTTTGAAAGTTACCCTCGGTTCCCCAAGGATCCCATCATCAGATACTGATCTCATGGAAATAGGATCATCTCGGGAGTATGCCCTTTCAAACAAAACAAGAATTTTGGAAATCGGTTCACAAATGGGGAGTAATGCGCGGACAAACAAAAAACAAACAATTAGTCGAACATAGTACCTCCTCCTTTTTTGAAGTCGATAAAAAGAAAGACGAATTTGTTCCAACACTTATAACTCGAGATCGACAAAACCAAATTTCATGGTTTTTAGTTCGTTGGATTTATCCCGAAATAGCATAATATAGTATCTTAATAAAAATAATGGAGAACATAATAATATAAATAAAAGATGAATCATTTTCCTCCTAATGTTACTTTGTTTCGTACCTGTCAAACATTTGTTGTCCATCCTATCAAATACTATAAGTATTGGTTGACATACATTCAGAAATAAGATTAACATTTACGCGTCCGTTCATACATTTATTAGTCAGACATTTATTACACATTTATTAGACATTTATTAGTCTTTTTTCTAAGATTAATGATTACAAAGGTTAAAAATTGCACTACCTATCTAAAGTAATACTCTATGATCTAAACTAATGTACAGCCTGACCAGACCAGGAGCTGTAGCCAAATGCCACTTAGCGCTTGTCTACTTGTAGAATAGAAAACCAAATTATATGGAATTGACGTAAATTTTGACACTTGTCAGTGTCATCCCCATACATTTTGATATCTACTCTCACTGTAGACAAGCGCTAAAGTGGCGTTTGGCTAGAGGCCCAGATATATAATAAACCTGTCAAGAGGTAGCTTTCGTGTTTTGACTGTCAATCTTCTATCAAAATGTATGATGAAAATTAGTTTTAAAAATTAGGCAATATCCAGAGATTGTTTATTTTTCTGATAAGGCTGTATTTCTAAAATGTATTTTATAAGTTGTTGATTTTTCAAAGATTTATTTAAAGGTTAAAAAGTGCACTGTCCAAATTAGTAGTCTATGATCTAAACTATTGTCTATGTCTTGAAAGTCCATGTAGATACTCTATAAATTGTTTTGAAAGATGAGGAAATTCAAAAGGTATCATTTGAATTTAAACGAATTCAATTCCTGATTGGTCTTGCCTTTGCCATGATGATTAACAAATCACAGGGCCAAGCATTGACTATTTGTGGCCCAATTTAGAAAATGCATGTTTTCCTCATGGTACTTCACCATGAGAAAAACATGGTACGTGGCATGTTTACGTGTCGGTAAACCATCCGCTTTATTTGTTCTTGCGCCTGACAAAAACACAAAGAATTTCGTTTACCACAAGGTGCTTGAATGAACAAGAGTTAATCCGAGTGCATCACATGCTACACAACATACTTTAATTTTATAAAAAAAATCTGACTCGTGTTTGAAGTACTTAATTTTAATTTATATTCTCTCTCTGTATGTATTGTTCATAATAATAAAATACTTTTATATATCTATCTATATTCATATTCATTTTGTATCATTGTATTACGTTCATCAAAGCCTAAATTAGTTCAGTTAAAAGGTAACACGGCATTAATTGACTGTTAGGCGGTATGAAGTTCGCCGGGTCAGCTAGTATAGCATATTTTTTTCTCATTTCAATTTTCCCTTTAACTAATATAAGTTTATTGATCACGTGCACAAGGTTTGTAGGGGTCCTCTAATTGGAGCATCAGTTTTGTTTTGGGACAAGCTCTTTCCGATCTCTCACCAATAAGACCTACTATCCTCCTTACTAACATAAAAGTAAGAATGACTATCATATAATCTATGTAGATACAATTTTACACCTTATTAAAAGAAAAGCTCAAAAATTCACAGTTTCTTAGAGGAAGCCACCCCAAGCGAACTCTCTGATACAGAATTAATATTTTAAATGTTAAAGTTTGTAAAGATAATTGTGTGTTCAGAAAAACTCAAAACTCAAAAACATTTATTTCAACTTACTTTTCCAATTTTCAGCATAATTTGATACTTTTGAAACATCAATAATTAATATAAAATAGTCTGTCAGTGTGTCCGTCAGTGAAGCTAGATGCTCGTTCCAAAAAGTAGATTCGAGAGGAGAAGAACGTGCAAGAAACTCCATTCGTTACTCTTTAAAAAAAACAGTTTGATACATAATACAAATTACAGAACTAACTAGCATAAAAAAGAAAATAAATAATTATCTTATAGTCTAACATGGTGTTCATTTATGCATAAAAAAATAAACTCTTTGTTTCAATAAAGAAAGAAATACTCGATGCTATAAGAAAAAACAAGGTTGCCTTCAACGGAATCAAAGTATTAAATTACCTGCTATTGGAATCTGAACTACTGACTACGTTTGAGTATTGTACAGTGGAGCCGAATCAACATGCTGCCAGGCATTCTTCTCTTCAAGATAACACTTTGTAGTAAGCTTGTTTACACAATACGCGCTTAATATTTGTTTTAAATTTACTTTCATTAAACTCTACTATGGTACTTTATATTTTATTATAACATGTAACACATATTGCTCGTTGTTCTGCCATCGTTGGCCGAGTGATCGCAAGTGCGACTGTCGAGCAAGGGGTCTCGAGTTCGATTCCCGGGTCGGGCAAAGTATTATGGGGTTTTTAAATACTACCAAAAACTCCATATATTGAAGAAAACAGTTTTCAAGGACTAATGATAGTATTTAGCTGCATCAGAATAAGAGATTTTAAAGAAACAATACGAATTCAATTAACTGAATACATTTTATTCACGGACTAGCATCTGCACATGGTTTCACTCGCGCTCTTTTAAAGTATTGAGGGCAGGTTTACAGGTTTAGACATGATTTTTTTTGTGGCAAACGATAACCTGATGGTAAGCAATCGGCATCGCCCATGGACACCTAGAACACCAGAGGCGTTACAAGTGCGATACGGAGTTTGAGAAGAGGGGGGGGGGGGGTAATTTCGCCTCCAGTAATCTCACTCATACGACGAAACACAAATCAAGCGTTGCTTCACGTCGGTTTTCTATGAGGACGTGGTATCACTAAACACTCAATTGTACAACGACGTATAATAAAACCGTATTGAGTACTGAGTGAAATTGTAATCTGAAATTATATTTCAGATTTAATTATAAATATACGTAACATTCAAGAATGTGAAAAGTTTAACTAATTGTGTATGTGAACTTGTATGTTTGTAAACGCACCCACGACACAGGAGATAATCCTAGTGTAGGGCAAAGTTTTTTTTTATTCTTTACATATATAACTGCTGGAATTAAAGTATTTCTTGTCATTAAATCTTGTTCAAAGTTGGTTAAAACTGGAGGCTTTGAATCTCAGAATTGAGCTGAAGGTTTCTAACAAGGTAAAATTAAATTAACAACGTTTTGAGTAGATAAGTACTCTTAGAGCTTCAGTTCCTTTCTAGGAATATCTTCGACTTGTACTGTTGAATTTGGTAGAAGAATAGATTATTTTTTAAATTAAAATTATAATGAGCTGGTCGTAGCAAATATAATTAGGCCATAGCCCTTTACTGTCCAAAGTATACTGAATTCTGGGAATGTAATTCGAATTTAAAAACAATAATTGATTACAGTCTGTAAAACATTTAGTTTAATCACAGATATTATTGTAAAAGGATTTTTTTAATGGGGGTAAATCATCGAATGACTGATCCCCTCTGGGTGAGGCGGGAGGGAGTGTCAGACTCTTACTGACTAAAAACCACCCCGTTCCTTCTCCTGCACGTCGAGCCGGAGCCCCGGTTACCCCTTAGGTTCTCCGCGACATTGTAAAAGGATACGACACACAATAAACATGAAAACCAAAATTAGGATTGTTCTAATAATTCTGTCGGTCATAGATTCAGCAATCGTTTTAATAGCTTTCGATTATAAGCACATTATAATCTTTAACGTGATATTTACTTTAATAAAATATAACATTGTTTCAGCTTTAGGCACGATATACACGTCCGGGTTTGGAATCACCGCGGGCGTTCATAGGCTGTGGTCACACCGAGCATACAGGGCGCGATTACCACTGCGGATAATACTAGCGTTGCTGTTTACTGTTACTGGACAGGTAAGGACTTTAATTCTTATTAACTTTAGCAAGTACTTATTTATAAGGTCATTGAACAACTAGCCATTTCTGCGCGGTTTACCTGCTCTGCTCGTATAGTCTATCTCAATAAATGACCTTCCCAAAAATAATTTTGCCATTTGACCAACCATTAATTTCGAAGATTTACCTACGCGTTACAAAATCTTCAGCTTTATAATAACAGCTATATAGATATAGATTAAATATTGAGAGGGAGGGATCTTGTTTGTCTTGTGTGTATTCTTGTATTGATAATCGTCTACACTCATTACTAACACAATGACATGCCTGAAATATTGCATTTTTGGCAATTATTTAGATTTTTTTTAAGGGGAGAAAATCATCGAATGCCTGCACCTGCCTGGGTGAGGCGGGAGGGAGTGTCAGACTCTTACTGACTAAAAACCATCCCGTTCCTTCTCCTGCACGTCGAGCCGGAGCCCCGGTAACCTGTTAGCATCTCCGCGACCATTTACTTAGATTAAACAGATTTTTTTAATTTACTTCTATTCTCATAATAAGGAATAGAAGAAAATTAGAAAATGTTATCAGACTGCGTAAGATAGTATCTTAATAAAGTAACTAGGCTGTCAACAAAGTTGTAAATCCTTCGTTTCTATTATACACAAGATTAATTAAACTCCATCAGAAGTTTCTAATAGGACTACAAAGGCATTGTTGAGACGTAATACTTCTATTAGTATATTAGACGATAATTGAGACTTAGTACAAAAGAAAGTGAACATAAACAAGATGTAAACAGCAATCTTAAAATTAGCATAGATAAGTACTGTTTTTGGTTAATTGTATTTTACCGACAATATTGTGAGGCTCTCTTAGAGAAGTCATAGGTTAATAAATAGTGTTTAACGCTACTCGAGACTCCAGCAGACAACAAGAGTATGGGTAGGAATGAGGTAGCTTTTATAAGAGTCTGACACTCCCTCTCACCTCACCCAAGGCGGGAGAAGTTATTGGATGATTTGTCCCCTCAAAAAGAAAGTTTACTTCTGCTAATGTTATTTAAAATAGTTATTATATGGAAAAATTCTAGTGTCTTACCAGCTGAATATCCAAAATACCTTTAATAAAGTTGATAGAAAGTATACCAACTAATTTGCCTACGCACTCATATCTTCCTACAAACACAGATGTGTGTATTTTATTGAAATTACTGAAATACTATACATAAACGTCACACTATTTTTATAAACGTAATATTTAACTCACAGATGACAGTAGAATAGCATTTATTATATTGTGTGGCATTTTGCAAAAACGTGACTATAATTACTGTAACTATAAGGAAGACAATCTTACGATTCTGATGATTATTTTTCTTTATCAGAAGTTTATATGCATGTCATATCATGTGACATATTTTACTGACTTCCTTTAATCTATTCACAATAGCATTAGAGAGAATTATTCAAAAAAGCTTATTTATGGGATACGCTTTGTAATAAAAATGACAAATAATTTCAAGAAGGTTTCTAGTTTCATCATGAAGGCGGAAATATAAAGGTGAGTTTTCCAAAAGGTGTGGAAAATTGCCAATTTTGTAAATTTTAATGTGTTTTTTTCCCGATTTACATTTTACAACCTGGGAAAAATGGCGGAAAAAACATTTTTTTACAATACTTGTTTTCCAATGTATTTTACGAGAAAAACATTGTGTACAAAATTAAACTACTTATTTACTTTTTTCTTTGTGTCTAAGCAGCTTTTTCTATAAAATAAATACATTTGGCGCCAGAGCACTGGAAAGTATAACTCAGTGAGTATTTAGGAGGATTTCCACACCACGTGATCCTTTACGTGGTGTAAATTCTCCTAACTTTTGTTTAAAACTTGTGGCGCCGACTTCTTACCTATCAGTGGATGGGTAACCTATAAGTACATACGTATAACTAATAATAGTTATTTTTTGCTTTTTAGTTTTGACCTTTTGCTTGTTTTTAGGTCTAATAGGACTACTACTTTTTAGGACTAAAGGTCTGAAAGTATTCATTATTTTATTCTATTTTCAAAATTGGGTACTTACCAACTAGACAAATTGAATATTATTTTCGAACTGTCAAAAACGACATTTTTATATGAATGTTGTACAAGATTGTGTAATGTGACGTCACTTTTTTAGCGTTAAACAGCATACTTATTACTTAAAAATTAGCAAATTTTTTTTTCAAAAATTAAAATTAGTCATAGAATCAATGTGTGATTATTTTTTAATGTTTTATAGTATTGGACAGTCTGGTGGAAAACACATTGTTGGTGACAGAAACAAATGAGGTGATAACAGAATGTCAGGTAATATAATAGGTGATGAAAAATTTTTACAAAGGAATGAGTTTGTTTATCTGGGATCACTATTTACGAGAGATAGAAAGTGTGACGAGGATATTGAAAGTGAAAGTAATGTAAAGGATAGTGAAAGCGGGAAATAGTGTTAATGGTGCTTTACACTCTGTCATGTCGAGTAAAATAATATTCGGCAAAGCTCGACTTGTTGTAATGCAGTGTGTATTGACACCAACGCTTATGTATGGTAGTGGTAGTGAATCTTGAGTGTGGCAGAAGAAGCATGAAAGCAGGATTAATGAGAGCCCTCAGAAGTATATGTGGGCTAAAATTGAGTGATCGAGTAAAAAATAGTGTTATTAGAGAAAGGTGTGGATTGAAAGATGGTGTAGTGACAAGGATTGAAAAGGGAATATTACGCTGGTTTGGATATGTAGAAAGGATGGATGAAAGTAGAGTAACGAAAGAAGTATATAGAGCTGATATGAATGGAGCCGTCGGTAGAGGGCGCCCTAGACAAACATATACTGACCAGATTGGCGATATATTAAAGAAGGGCCAGAAAGGTTCAGTTTAAAAGTACCCTTAACCGACGAGCATGCATGAAAAGTTTGATGACTGTTGATGAAGCGAAAGAGGTATGTAGGAATCGTAGTAATTGGCGTTCCGTAGTCTCTGGCTTTCCCTATGGGAGACAGGCGTGAAGTTATGTATGTATGTATGAACAGTCGAACTAAATTTTTGATTAAGGCAAGTACCCACTTATAGACAACATGCATGCAATGTGTAACACAACGATATTAACTATAGACACATATACCTACTGTCCACTTATGCCTTATACAAAATCAAAAGTCAGAGTTGATGTTTGTGATAACATTATTTTATCATATGTTTTTCGTAAATGTAAAATAACGAATACATTATTTGAAAAGGTTTCTCTTATTGAAACCCACGATACTTGTATCTGCAGTGTTAGTATTCCCAATCGAGAAAAATCCTTAAGTAACATTTTCTTAGAAATCTGCGAACAGAGATTACTTCAACGAATGAATATCAATAACATGGATGCTGAAAACTTTCGTCGAAATCAGACGATAGGATTTTGTTCTCAATTTGTTGAGGTTTTTTTTATTGACATACCTATTGTTACTTTTAAGAAAAACTGTTTGCGTCATGGTTAAATTTTATTCACTAGCTTTTATGTATAAAAATATAATAGAACTGCTACTATACCTACAATGTTGTTGATTAAAATAATTCTATATAGACTAAAAACAGTAATCGCAGTGAGGAAATGAAAAAAATTACAATTAATGTATAACGCCAAAATTATTTAAATAAACTAATTATGAAAATATCATTACTTAATATTGTCATATGATATGTACCTCTGTAGACATAGAAATTAAAACCACGCTTGTTACTGAACTAACTTAATCTAGAAAGTTCTTCGAAATATATTTTTTTCAATGACACCATTATACATAAGTTTTTATTTATTTATTTATTTTATTGGCACAGATAAAGTTTTTGAAATTTAAAAACTGTACATCAATAATAAAACTAAAATAAAAAGTTGTATCTTACTAAGCTTTGGTACGTGATTTTCTTTTTATTTTTGCCTCTTTCCCCAAGTTTTCCTTAAGTTATAACTTATTTTAAACCTTGATATCACCACGACAACGTTTAGAGTTTCTAAGATTGTTTAAACACAACTGATATACAGTGAGGCAATCAACTCAGATTCATATATTACACAAGACTCAATATATTTCTGATGACAAGTGGGTATCATATTTATTTATTTTCACATCTACATATGTAACTATGTACCCCTTTCAGAGAATAAACTACGTGTTCAAATTAAAATAAAATCAAAATAAACGGTTAATTTCAAAAGTGTTCGTAGAAGTGTTGAAGTAATCTTTTAATTCGTCTTTATGCGTCATTTATGTTCAACACGCTAGCCTAGACGGGAAATGCCCCTTCCCTCACCCGTCTGCTATCGAGCCACTCATAAATTTAATTCCCCTCGGCCACCTTCAACTGTTAGTGTTTTTTAATCATAAAGGTGAAGGTCACTGCCACTGTGTTTACTAAAAATGTTTTAGGTCAGGCGAATGAGTGATTTACTCACTTTCCGCCATTTTATGGTCTATAACCATAAGTTTCGATACATGTAATGGCGTATTATTAATCAGTTTACGTTGAAAACATTTTTGTGAAAATTTTAGTTTTTACTAACCCCTTGCAGTATTTTAAACACACACATGTGTGCGGTTTTCGAAACTACTACTAAAATAAATATAATTTAATGTCCATTAACATGATTTCGTGTGGATATGAAGCTAAAATAGTTTTATGATTTCGACAATGTTTATTGAGAATCGATTTAAATATCTATTTAGCATTGTTTAATACTTTATTCGATGCTAAAACCAAATATTAGTTAATAATAATATAATACTAGTTTATTGGTTCATTATAAACTGAAAACAATGGTTTATAGCAGTGGCGTAGTTTGCGTTAACGGGGCCCCGTATAAAAATTAAAATGATTAAATATGGAGCGTGGTGCCTTTTCATTTTGTCGCGGTAGTTGATCGGGTGTGTAATGTCTAATAACATTACAAAAAATATACGGGGTCTTATATCAAAAACTCAGTCCAAACCGAG